CACTGTGAAGCCCGCTGTCTTGCCTCGCTTTGGCTTTGCTTCTTGCTGAAGACAAGGACTGATCTGAGCCAGGAAACCAGAGGCCAGATACCTCCTCCCCCACCCCTGTCTTGGCTCCTCCCTCTTTAGCTGCCTTTCGAAGCCTTAATATGAAAAAGGTCTAATGGATCATTTTGACAGTGACAGAGTGAACTCTGCTGAAGGACATCAGAAGCCACTAGGAAGAAATGACAACTTCTACAAGGGCTTGGGAAGGAGGTCAGCCCCACCCTGACTCCCAGGCTTCTATTCCCTACAACCTTCCTCGAGGCTGACTTACGCTCAGGATTCCACACACCTGAGAAAGCCCCTCTCTTTAACACCCCTTCTGACTGAGTTCAGTCGCTGTCCCTGATAGTTTTCAACTTGACACAAGCTGGAGTCATCTGAGAGACAGGAGCCTCCATTGAGAAGACGCCGTCCTGTGACTGGGCTATAGGCAAGCCTGTGAGGCATTTTCTTAATGATTGCTGGGGGAAGGCCAAGTCCATTGTGGGGGATGCCACCCGTGGGCTGGTGGTCCTGGGTGCTTTGAGAAAGCAGACTGAGCAAACCATGAAGAGCAAGCCAGCAAGCAACATTCCTTCATGGCCTCTGTGTCAGCTGCTGACTCCAGAATCCTGCCCTGTGTGAGTTCATGACTTCCTGTACTGATGGTCTGTGATACAGAAGCGGAAACAAATAAGCCCTTTCCTCCCATGATGCTCTTAGTCATGGTGTTTCCGCACAGCAACATTAACCCTAACTAAAACAGTTACCAACTTCCCGAAAGAGTCAAGGCCAACTCAAGACACAGGTGGGCAGGTCCTGGCTTCCACCTGGTCCGGGATCCTCAGGCCACCTCGCAGGGGCAGATGGTTTCTTCCATTTTTGTTTTGGTTCTAAGGCTCTCACATGGGCTGCATGCCCAGGAGCAAGTCAGGCCACGAGGAGGCCCCAGGCTGCCATGAACAGTGAAAAGGAGGCCAGCCCTTACCTCAACCAAAGGATGCCTAGGCCTGAGCTCTGGTACAGGCAAAACAAAGAGAAAGGATAGCAGAAAGGAGAAATAATGGCCACCCATGAAGCCAGTTGTCATGGAGACGTCGGACACGGACACAAATTGTTTTCTACCCCAGGAGGGTCAATTCTATGGGTGCGTCTGCTGGGGCTCCATGTCGTATCCTGGGGTCTGGGTGAGATTAAATTTGGTGAGTGTCCAACCTCTACTTGCTGGGCTTCATCAAGTGACTTCAAGGCACAGAGAACTGGGGACAGAAGGATTTTGTTCTCCCTGCCTGCTTAAGCCAGGCATTGGTCTGCCCTTGAACTTGGGATGCACGCCAGCCAGCAACTCCCTGGGCTTTCAAGCTTCAGATTTAGACTAGAAACAGACACCAGCACTGGCCCTCCTGGGTCTCCGGCCTCTGCCAATCGCTTGAGCCAATGCCTGTTGTCGGGAGTAATGGTCCTGCGCTTAGATGAGAGTTCAACTTGGGCATTTTCTTTTACTACGGTGACAAAGCCACATGTCCTTCAGATCTTTCCCTGTGCTGGTGACAGGCTGCATGAGTCAGTCTCTGTCTCTGCCACCCCACTCAAAGCTAGGGAGAAATTGTAACCACAGGGCCCCAAGAGCTTCAAGGGGAAAATCTCAGTGCTACAAAGTATATGTTCAGTAAATGACAGGCATGTTTAATTTAAAATACTTCCAATTAATTATAAGCTTATCAGGCACATCATATGTTGAGATATATATGCACATGTATATCTCAACTATATACTATATAGGTATAGCATATATAGTATACAGAATCTTCTACTGACCCCATTTCTCTGTAGAGCCCTGCTCCCTTACCATGGTCCAAATAGTCACCATGCTTTGTGAAGATGATGTCACTGCCTCCCTCCGACTGTGTAACCCTGCTTGACAGCCTTCACTATCCACTCAAGAGCCAGCGTAGACCTGGTAAAACCATTATTAATCAGACACATCCTTCCTCTGCCCAACTTCCCATGAGGCTGCTCCCGATAGATAGACACACAGCAGCCTGAAGTCAGCTGCGTGACTCCCCGGGGCTGCCTCTTGAGCCTGTCTGAACCACCTGAGTCTGTCTTGAACCACTGCTGTGCCTCCATTCCAGCCCTCCTGGCCTCCTAAGCAAGATCTTGGAATGTGGCCACGGCTGGCTGGAAGGTTTGTCACTCAGATCACCAGCTCACAAAGTGACCTTTTAAGCCCAGTTCCCGTGTCCCACATTTTATCCCTGTCCCCCGCTGACTTATCTCCTTGACAGTAGGTATTACTCAACACTCCATGTTCATATTCATTCATCTGCCTCTAGTCTTACTCTGAAAAAGGCCGGCCCTTCCCATTGAGGGATTTGAGTAATTTTGTTCACTCCTATACCTCGTACCCCCAGTGCCTGGACCAGTTCTGAATACCGCAGAAGTTGTTGGCGAAGGACAGACCATAGCTCCAAAGGGAACAGGGGAGGGGGGCATTGTTCCCCTTAGGGTAACAGTTGCTGCCTCAGTGATTGTCTGTTCAGAGGTCTGGTGTGTCTCCTGAGAGGAAAGCCGCACAATGCAAAATAAGATTAGGTGTGATTGTTATTCTGACTACAGAGCCAGCCAGGCCTTGGAAAGGCCTGCGTGCCTGGTGCCCAACACTCGCAGGAGCGGACATGCAGAGACACCCTCCAGGATGCAGGTTAGCTGCACTGGGGACAAACACCTGGTCTTGAAGGAACCCATTCCAGGAGACTAGGTCATCTGTGGCAAAGTTTGGGGGACAAGAAAGCTATCTGCCATGTGGGGAGTTAGTTCTCCATGCCAGGCTGCACGGTAGCACACAGTGGCCCTAACAGCAGGCTGCCCATCAGTTCAAATAGTGTTGGCTCATTTGACAACAAACACCAGCTGATTTTTCTGATCTTAACTGTAAATCAGCAAATCGGGTGACTAGCTGTAACTACCCAGTAGTGTCAGCCCCCACCTTAAAGCCCTTCATACTTGTCACCAGTAATTCTCAAGATGTCAAGCTCTGTCTAGGGGCTCTGAATTGCACCAGGGGAGTGGGCAGAGGCTGCCAGACAGTCTGGGTGGATTGGAACCATCGAGGTGATGTGGGGGCTGGACCGTCTGTAGGTGGAAGGTGACTACTTCCTTTATCTCATGACAGTTACTGGAGTATGCACAGCTAGCTTTCTGGCCCTCCTCCACCCTCTGGGCTAGGGAGTCACGGTTTCTGAGGCTCTCTCAGTGGTAATAGCTGAGGGAGGGCGAGTGAGGGTAACTGTGTGCTGCTTTTGGAAGCCCTTGACTTCATTCCTGGTCTGGACTCCAATGGCCATCCACCAGGTAGAAACCAGAAGAGGCAAAGTAAGGGGGTAAAAAGGTCCTTATCTGGCTGGTTGATTTGACTGGTTCTTCTTAGGCCCATAGGACAGGGAGCCCCAGGCATTCTCAGCAAGCACAACCCAGACACCAGCAGATGGACGGTGGGGCTGGAAATCCACTTAAGATGAACAATAAGGGCCTTCTCCAGCGGTTTGACAGTGGCTTCCAAGAGCAACAAACTCCTCCAGCTGTTCCCACAGGGAAAGCCCCTGAGAATTGTATCCAGAGGGGAAGGAGATCTGAAATCCCCCCTCCCCCGGGCTTACCATGGGCCCTCAACCCCTATGGAAAAATAGCAAAACTGTGTGTGTGTGTGTGTGTGTGTGTGTGTAGTGGGTGGGTGGGTAAGGAAGTGCTGCACCCAACAGATAGTGGACTGGGCAATCTTCCCTCAGCTTAAAGAGCAGAAATTAGGCTCCCGCTTCAGCTCCAGGTGCCAGGGAAGCAGCCTTCCCCGCCCTTCCAGGAAGGCACAGCCAACAGGGGAAAGGAACTTTCTCCACTTCCGATTCCAATTAAGTGAGGGTGGCCTTTGCTGCAGGGCAAGGAGGCTGGTTTCCCAGCACTGTGGGTCACAGTCACAGCTCTCAGCCCAAGGACTGTTGGTGACTGAGTGGGCGTGTATGTAGGGGTGATCTCTGCTCAAGCTAAAGGGCACCGTGGACACGGACAAGGAGGCTACCAAGGTGACAGGAATCAAAGGGATGAGGGAGTTACATTAAGGTGGGGCAGGAGAAGAAGGGAAGGGGGAAGAGGAGGAGCAAGAGAAGATGGGGGAGGGGAGAGGAGGAGAGCGACAGAGAGCAGAGGTGAGAGGAGATAGGATGGGGCGAACCGGAACAGAAGGTGGAGTGGGGAGAAGAGGGAGAGGGAAAAGAAGTGACAGGAATGAGTGAAGAGAAAAGAGGAGGAAAGGGGAGGGCTAGAGATGAAAGAGAGGGAGGGAAGAGAGGTGGGGGAGTGAGAAGAGACGGGTGAGTAAGGAGGAGGGGAAGCTAGGTGAGGCAGAGATGAGGAGGAGGGAAGGAGAGAGGGGGAAGGAAAGAGAGGGGAGGTAGGGTTTGGGAAAAAGAAGGGTGAGAAAGGGTGGGCAGGGAGCAGGAGAAAGTGGGAGGGAGAAAGAGGAGAGGGGACAGGAATCATGGGGAGGGTAGGCTGGGAGGGAGGAGGCAGG